CTGGGTCTGTCCACGGTGGACCGGTCTCTGCTGGAGGATCTGGGTCTGTCCACGGTGGACCGGTCTCTGCTGGAGGATCTGGGTCTGTCCACGGTGGACCGGTCTCTGCTGGAGGCCCTGCTGGAGTCTGAGCTGAAAGAGTTTCTGGTGAACCTGCATGATTTCATCTGATTTTTCCCAATCTGCCCTGGTGGCACCGATTAAGAATAACTGTATAGAAATATTTTCTTGTTTACTTATATTGTTCATTCAGAGGCATCAGTATTAAATGAAGACTGTTTTAGAACCAGTTAGAGGTTCCTCACAGTAACTTTAAATATGCAAACAATTCTGATTTGTACTAAAGAAACAGGCAGTAAAATGTATGGCTGAGATACACCTGACTTCTCCATTAAATATGAAGACCACATTTCATCATTGCCATTTGAAACCTGCTGAGACAGTAAAAACATTGAGTCCAATTATAACCTAGCTGCCAAGGTATAGTTTGATGTTTAAATCAACAAATCTGGGCGAGCTACTGTAGTTTCCTTCTGATCTTTCACGTCTGAGTGCACATGATGCCTGAAGAAACTCTAATCAAACAGCTCCAACAGCTCCCTGAACCTCGACCTCTTTACTTGCCTTACTCCTGTTTATTTCACTTTCATAAAAGCTCATTAAACATTAATCTCATCTGTTCCACCGCTGAGTGTAGAGTCTAAGGTTGATTGCCTTTTAATTACACTTGGCATTGATGTGACTTCATAAGCAGCTGGTTTCTGCCAAGCAATCTAAAGCACAAGGATGGTTAATGAAGATGGTTGATTTATTTTTCTCTTATGAGGAAAACTTCCCTGATAGTATAAAGGTGTTTTGTAATCAGGTTTTAGATATTACACCATATTTGTATTATTACTGGAAGGTTTCATGAATCGTGTATGTTGTCAAAATAGTAATGCAACCTAAAAACCCTGCTTGTCTTCTTGACCTTTAAGCCCGATTTCCGACCAAACAATTTCATAAGCTCCTTTCACACTGGACAAAAAAACCCACTAATGTTAATTTTCGCCTCTTTTCCAGCGCTTTCTTTGTGATCTCATCCACAAATTTTGCCCGTCTCCGTCCAAGCACCGAGTTTGAAAGAGAAACAGAATTAACAGACTAATGCGGGACTAATAAAGGATTATCTTACAAAAAAGAAGTACCCAGCGTTACAGTTCTACTCTTTACTAACCCTTTTCTCCAGCGTGTTTGTGACGTTTAAAGGGACACACTAGAGAAAAACAGCAAGGCAATGGGAGAAGAGTTCATCTTCTTCTTTGGCAGGTTTTCCCACGTTTAAAAAACTGCATGCATGTTAATTTTGGTGGTAAAGGATAGTACAGTGATGAGTCGTTTTCATCAGAGCTTGGCTTGTTGACTGTGTCAAAGTAAAACAAAAACATTTTTAAAAAACGCATGTAGGTTTGGCTTCTTTTTTTAAAATAATCTGTAAAACCAGGTGTGGCCTTTTGATAATTAGTTATATTGTTAATGACATACTTGTTGCGGTATGTCGATAGTTTATTTGAATGTGAGTTGATCTGTGTGTCAACATCTTCACCCCTCTTGGTTCCACCACTGACCTTGATTGTGACCTCTGTACTCTCGGTGGGCTGCTCACACACAGACTGCATCAGAGACTCCTCAGTGAACCTGCTGTAGGCATCCTGGACCACCTGCAGACCCGCACACATACAGGAGACAGGCTTCAAACTGTGGCCACAACAATGTAATGCCCCGGCAGCTGAGCAACTAGTCATCAAATATACAGAGACACTGCTAGAGAGCACACACACACACACACACACACACACACACAAAATACAGAATACTAAATGCACATATAAGATACTGAAGCTTGTGTGACATGGACGAGAGACAAGCTGATTTATTTGTCTTTGTGGTCAGGCTGGAGGTTGAGAGGAAGCCGAGCCAAAAGAGGATGTAATCTTTCAAAAATGTCCGTTCCATTGAACTGCAAGAAAGACGGCATGAGGGGAGGGCAAGGATCGGTGGAGGGAAGAGAGACAGGTTGAAGAGAATAAGGGTCAGAGATAAAGTGAGGTCGAAGGCATTTAAAGGGCCAGTGTGCGTGAGTGAGTGAGTGAGTGAGAGAGGTACGATTGATTAGAGTTCTGTGTCGGTCCCTTGGGTTCGGTCCCTGAAAGGTCGGAGACATCCTCTCACTCATGTTCCCCGTGTTCTCAGATCTATGAGGAAATCCACAACGTGTCAGTGACATCAGGGGCAACTGCTGTCATCTCAACCTCCGCTGTCGATACACAGGCTCACGTTAGAAGTGTCCATACGCACATGAAAATTAAAAAAGAATGCACATTATAAGCATTTGCACACGCAGATATTGATATGTCAGTATATACAGGAACACCCAAACAATAAGTGTACACATATGGTGAGTGAGAGATACACGGGGAGTATGACCTGATGCTTTTACATTTACTGTACACTGTTCACTAGTACGTAGTTATAGTGACTGTTTCTCCAGTACTTTTGACTAGTTATGACATCAAACCTTTTACGAATAGTAATGCGATGTAATCTTGTTTTAATGTAATTTTCATTTCTATTAAGTGATCACAATCCGGCAGACAGACAACACCTTCTGGACGGCACGGCGAAAACAAACAGAAAGGAAACACGCGCGGTGCTCTTCAGCATGATCTCACTAATGTAAAATAAGCAACTCATAACGGTGGTTAGTGATGTTGTCTTTGTAACTAGTGACAGTTGGGGATAAATGTAAAAACAGCACGCCACAGGGGAGACGTCTCAATGTCATGTCACATGTTGATCTATTGCTATGAAGACGTGAATATGAACACATAACATCGTATCCACAGTAACTAGACAAACACAGACAGACATGAAAAAAACACTGAGGGCACACCAACACGGGCCAGTCGTTGATTAGACAGAAGAATCTACTGCACATCATGGAAGCTTTCATAAAGTTAATCACTACTGCCCTTAACACATACACCACACACACACACACACACACACACACACACACACACAGATACTAACCTTGTAATACACACCACACAGTAAAACAACACTGAAGTAGGTAATATGTGCATGTGTGTAAATCCCCACACACTGTTTGTTAAAGATAGCAGTGAAGCTGCAGGTCAGATTGTTGATGAGTGACTGCAGGTCTGCGTCTGAGCCGCTTATGAGCCGAGAGAAGAAGAAAGACAGAAGGAAGGAAAGCCAGAGCGGCAAAGCAGACGCGTGTGTGGCACACGGGATGTAAGTGTGACTTCCTCTAACATCGGTGCTCAGCTGCAGTTACACACGTCAATATAGAGGAGGTGTAAACCATCTAAACAGGTCATTTAGACTCTATTCTTAAGTTTCAAATCTTATTTTCTCAAAGCAAGGGAACAGCTCAGGTCTCCTTTCTGTTGTTTCACAACCTACCGTGGAGCTAAGCAGGAACAGCTCTCCGACTTGCTTTAAGAAACGGAAGATTTTAAGATGAAATACTGGATTGAATTACTGAACTAAAATGCATGTGTGCACCCCGACCTGGTTCAAAACCGTTTCTAAAATCCTGGGAGACGGACCGAGCTCGTCAAGCCAACACCGTTAGCATTAAGCACTACCGTATATTTAGCCTCCAATGCTCTTTACCACTGATATTGATCTTTACATCTAGCCCTCATTAAGGAAGCACATAAGTAAGAGCATTTCCTGAGATGCTGAATTTGTCTCTTATTTCTTGAGACTATTCTGGTGTTCTTGCATCAACTACAAAACACGTTCACGGCTGCCAATCATTTGCAAAGTATATATTTTTAGATTGATTTCATAACTTCCTGGCCGCTGCGGGTTACGTGTCCTACGCTGTTAACTATGGAGGACGGAAGCTGCCACAATCAGAAATAAATATGTAAATGAAATGTATGAAGAAAAGAATACCGAAAGAAATAAGTTTTGGGAAATAAAAAAGGGAAAATAATACAGAAACTAATGAAAACATAAATAAATAAATAATTGTAAAATGAATGAATGCGTTTACAATATTTTTAAAATAGATGCAAAAATAAATAAAAACATTTAAAAATGAATGAATACATTTTTTTTTATACATTTAATATTAGTGTATTCATCGAGTTATTTATTTAGTTTTTGGCAGCTTCTGTCCTCCATAGTAACCTGGTATCTACTTCATGAAAGAATTTGGAGCTAGCTGACCCTCTGCTACATGCACAAAAATATGCTAACACATAGTTATAGTCTACATACAGCTCAGTCATTTTAATAGTCTGTTAGAATCACAGAGACAGGTTGTCCCAAGTGGTGGTGCCAGATCCACTTAAGGTAATTCATTGACTTTTTGTCAAATTAGGTCTTCAATCAACTTCTGCCTGTCCATTAGGATTGATCGCAGTTTCTCCTCAGTCTGCAGGATTTTTTTAGTGTGCTGGTATTTCTTTAATGGATTGGTATCATCTCTAAAAGCACAACAATTTACGAAATACTGAACACGCATTTCTGAAACTGCCACCAATGATCCTGTCACACAGCAGCAATTTGATCAAGGAACTTGTTTGCAAAAGAAAAGCACATTTCTCGAGACACCAAAGGAGGAGCAGAAAAGAAAGAGGCCAGAACACAATTCTCTCACCAAGAAGAGGCTCCGTTTGAGGCTGAGAGGGAGAAACGCAACGCACAGGCAGCAGCGTTAGCTGGGCCGCCAATCAGAGACATGGTGAGCATTGAGGCCTCGACTTTCAGTCCTCTCAAACAGAACCAAGATCATTAACACATCAGAAACTTAGCAGATATAATATTAAGAACAAATACAAAAAGATATTCCCATTAAACCCTGGATAAGCTATATAGTTAGATGGAATTGTAATGTTTTTTAAAAATGTAATCCTACAAATTCACAGAGTTGCTGTCTTTTTGTTGCAAACCTAAAATGTGAAGCAAACTCAAAGCAGCAACTCTGACAATAAGGAGTATTGTCCAACAGGAAATCTGAACCTACAGATACACTGTGACACAGATAGAGGACAGGGAGAAAGAGAGAGCAGAGGCAGACAGAACATTAATGTGACATCACACACAAAACCTCTAAATAAATGATCATATTGACCTGATGCTCTTTCATTTCTTTTTATATGAAGACCTAGATGGCGCCCCGGTGTGTTGGTGGGCATTGTTTTGTGTTGTTCAGTTTCGGATGTTGGTTGTTTCAACTTCTGGCTGCTGTTATTTAACTCAAGTCAAAAGTCTCCGTCCTGATTGGTTCTAGCAGACTTCTTTACATTTGTCAAAGCTATGAGGAGGTCATGTGACCCGAGGACACATCGACTGTAACTGACCAAATGAGTCTCTACTGACACTTTGTTTTTGGATGAATTATTATTGTATTAACACAGGTTTGAACGGCCACACTCTTTTGTTATGACATCATATTGTTATGAACACGTATTAAAACACGAATACCAGCACATTCTGACCCGTTGCCATGATTTATATCACAGAAACTGAATCCAACTTCCAGTGTAAACAGGAAGTTAAAAACTAATTTGGTCAATAGAAGTGAATAGAAGTGATATACTGTAGAATTATAACATAAATGAGTGCTATAAATGTTCTATACAGGTTTTCCAAGAAAGTTGGATTTGGGTATATGCAGAGTTTGATTTTAGAGACATTTATAATTCTCTTTCTCAAAACAACTCTGAACTCAAATGGAGCTTTGCAATATGACATATTGTCAAAAAGCCCTTCAGTCTCTGGGCTGTTTACAATGAGTCATCTGCCTGTGTTGGGTTATTGATTGAACCACGAGTTTAATCTGTTTTATAGATGATGTACTGCGGATGCTGGCGAGAGAGGGCTCATCTGTCTATCTTAGCTATTTCAAAAGAGTCCAATCAATAAGTCCATCATTCATTTGGGAAACCAACGCTGTGATATTAGTTCTGCAAAGACAATTTAAAGATAATTCAGTTTGAGAATAGATTTAAAAAATAAATGAGTCCCATTTTTTATTAATTTGGCAGATTTATTTCTAAATCCAGTTACTCAGTGATCTAATTAAACCCTCATGCGATTGATCTGGACATATTTCTTATCATTTGGTTGCTTGTATTGAGCGACTATCCCTGAAGCCCGATGTTTAGGTGTTTTCTATAGTCTTCTGTTTGTAATGGGTTTTTAATTTGGTCCATAAATTCATTTGGTTAACAAATCACCAACTGGGAATGCAGAGTGGATCGTTGTGTTGACAGAAGGGTTCATCAACAACTCCTCTAAATCATCCAATGGGTCAGTTAATCTGCCAGTAATGAGCAGGTCAACAGGAGAGAGCAAAGACTTTTAATCACAAATTGGAAAACAATCAGCGGCTTTTAGTCTTTGCCTTATTTTTGTTCTTAGGCTTAGCACAATCTTTGAGGTCAGGGCCCTCACAATTAAGTCTTAATTGTAGAGTTTTATTAAAAATTGACATTTTAAGGAAAAGAAAAATGGTAATGATGGCAACTCACAAGACATTTTGCAGTAAATCTACCATTCAGAAAACAAAATGAAATACTTGAAAAACAGATTAATGGTTCAACATTACAATAAATCATGAACAATGATAAACTGAGTCTTTGTGTAACAAAGCTCTATATTCTGGAAGCATTCAGTGATTTGTATTATTAAAATAGCTGTAGTTAGAAGCCTTTTCATTTGTCAACTAGGCCTTACCAATCACGTTGAAGGTACATTCAAAACCCCTGATGGAGCGCTGGGAGTTTCAGCGGGACGGTGGAGCGCTGGGTCTAACATGTGTAACGACAGCAACAGAAAGTTTGCTGATAACGGCAGGGAGTCTGGGCAGTACCCTGGGATCAGACCCCAGTTTTACGCTCACTAAAGGTTTCTGCCACTTTGGATTTAATCCAATAAACAAAGTATCAAAATGTAACGTTTTACAGAACATACAGCTCCCGGTCAGTGTCACAGTAAACACACAAATGGCCAACGTAAATACACAGCTGACTCTGACACACCACATGATAACTACTGATTTTGCCTACAGGCCAAGCACAACTCCACCAGAATATTCCACCATCACAGAGACATGAGGAGCTATGATAATGCACGAGGTGGACGTTACCTGTCTGAAAGCCTCGCCGTCTCCCTTGCCGGCATGCTGAGCGAGCAGCGTCAGCTTCTTGTTCTTCTCGTTCCTCTTGTGCATCCTGTAGATGCAGGACAGCAGGCACATCAGCAGCATGAAGGCGACCACGCTCAGCAGGGAGAGGATGGCGACAGTCAGCGGAGGCAGCTTGTGGGCTGAGCGAGAGACAAACGCAAAGGAAAATAAGAATGAGACTTCTGCGACTGCAGAAAAGTTGCTTCAAACGGACTTCGCTGTGTTGCTACTCATCTTTCATCAATGTTTCTTTTTAAGACTGAATCTGTTTTTAATCAGCAAGCTGACCCGCATTAAAATGCCCCCCGCCCGCCTTCGGTATAGTTCAGAATATCTTACGCATGGCAATCTCATATTTGGAGGTTTCTATTGTGTGTATGGACAGGTCTTTTGCCAATCTTTTTTACATGGCACAGGTCAAAGTAGAAACCGATCTATTACACACGTCACATAATAAATCTCAACATCTCCTCATTATCTCCGCCAGAAGGAAGCCTGTGGCGAGATAATGCGTTCGGTCGTGTGTGTAACTGTCTGTCCACGGATAATCTCACATACTACTGGACCCATCAGCCTTAAATCTGTTTGTGCTCATTCATGACTGTGCGGTCAAGGACCTCACAGTTGCAGTGTTTCACAATTTAACTTGTTTTATTGACTGTTTTATACCAACTTTGTCTGCCGATTCCTCACTCCTCTCAACAACTGCTTTAGCAGCAAAATGGCATTTCAATCAGCTCGGCTAAAAACAAGTCATACCAATTCATTACACGTGTCGAATGCAGCTTGGTCAATGGCAGCTTCAAACACTTGTGGTGACGCTCGGTGACGGCAGGTCAATATATGCACGTAGCGTAAAAAGATTCGTTGGGAGTGAGGGTTAGCCTCACAGCGTCTGTGGCGTGAATGAGGCAAATGACACGGCGTAAAATTTGCCTCATTCGCGTATTCAGGTGAAATTCGCATTGCGCTGTGTCGCGAATCAGCAACTATGGAATAAAAATAAAATATTGTAGCCATAGGTGTTCACCCAGAGCTCTACGATACCTCATATTAGTAGAGACCCGGACGAAACTATGTGTATAAATGTATGAGTATAAAACATATGGTACAAACAATGAAAACAACGCTGCCGTATTTACGCCTAGATGACGTTATTTTGAGTGTTGAGCTGCTACAATGTTAGCATAGCCTAACATCGATCGACCCGAGTTCCATTGAGAAAACAAGTATTTAAAAATGTTATTAGCTTGTCGACAACAAAATATGAATTTAGACTTTTTACAAATCAGCATCATTATGTAGTTATTTCGGCATTTCTTTTATCCGTTTATTGCCGTTAAATCACAGCAAAATGATTTATTTTGTGTTCATACAGCTGTAGTAAACAGCCGACGTGTGGCTTGCTTGACACAGTGAATACAGCTCGATAAAATCCACGGAGCTCCTCCAGATGATGTTATAAACCCAGACAAGACGGTGTTTAGTTTCCCGGGATATCTGGGACTTCCACAACAAGTACTAAGCAGAAATAGTGATTATTTCGTCCATGGTTGATGGCGGAAATAAATGGCTTAGTTGATAACGGCTTCTATGGAGATAAGCCACTCCTCCTCTCCGACGCGTCTAGCGCGAGTAAAGTCACGCGGTGCACCTTTCTAGTTCAGTGCCATATCAGTTTCATTATTTACATTTATGACTGACCTAGTACCAAGTTGAACTACAAAGTTCAAATAAATGGCTCTATAAAATAAGCAATAGCGTAAGCAATAAACTCCATCCTGTCCTACATATCATATAATGTAATTGACACCAAGTTGTATAAAGCCTTTTGGGGGGGGGCACACACAATATCTCTGGTTCTGCTGCATTGATTTTAATACTGTCTATTGTCGATGTTATACGAGTGAAAAGCTAAATCAGTGGAGTTCTATTTTAAGAGATGTTTCTGATCTTTGCTCACTGACGCTCATGATCTCATTTGCTTCACAAAGGCTCTGAATGTACATTAGCTTTGGTTGGCACACACACACACACACACACACACAGGATGTGCCAGCCTTCATATATTTTATCACATGTATTATTACAGTTGCATTACTCTGACTGACTCTGCCTGTGATGTAAACTCTTTCAATAAACACAATCTATAGCTGATAAAAGACTTATTTCTGTTCTGTAGGAAACTGATGCAGATTAGATTTTGTAGAGTGTAGAATGCATGCTAGCTCACAGCAAAGCAAGATGGGAACTAAATACAGTATGTTGATCATTTAAATGCGTCTTCTTCTCTTACCTTCCACCTCAATGTAGACATGAGCCACAGGAAAGCCATCCAGGTCTGTCACTTTGAAGATACCCGAGTCAGCCTCGTGGACCTTCTTAATAGTGAGCTGTGATCCCTCCACGGTCAGCCTGCCCTCCAGCAGAGGGTCCAGCGGTGTCACCAGAACCCCCTGGTCCAGGATGACCCGGTCCCGATTGTTCGTCTTGGGCCTGTAGACAATGTTAACATTGGAATGGTGCAGGTAGAGTTTTATCTTCAGGTTTTCTCCATGGGATTGGCGGATGACGTCTTGGTGCTCTGCGGAGAGAAATATGAACGTGTATCATAATAGCTAGCCTGGTGTGACGCTGGTTACTCTTTGAATT